AATAGATGTTTAATATTCAAATGAATGTATTATTACCTAATAAAGATTGAAATCAATTAATAAAATGTGCAAGACTTTTTTTTTTTTTTTTTTTTTGAGACAGAGCCTGCTCTGTCCCCAGGCCAGTGGCATGATTTGGTTCACTGCAAGCTCCCGCCTCCCGGGTTCATGCCATTCTCCTGCTTCAGCCTCCCGAGTAGCTGGGACTACAGTGCCCACCACCACACCCAGCTAATTTTTTTTTTTTTTATACTTTAGTAGATGGGATTTTACCATGTTAGCCAGGATGGTCTTGATCTCCTGACCTCGTGATCCGCCCACCTTGGCTCCCAAAGTGCTGGGATTACAGGGTGTGAGTCACCATGCCTGGCCGAGTTTTTTAAGAATAGAAAAAAGTTTTAGGGGAGGAGAAGTCCAGTGATCATATAATCTAACATTTCCCAAATAGTGGTTTTTAAAGGTATAATGAGAAATGTGTGTATTAAAGCAATAGTGGGTGGCGCTGGTGGCTCACGCCTATACTGGGTGGCAGAAGCAGGCAGATCACTTGATCCCAGGAGTTTGAGACCAGCAAGGGCAACATAGTGAGACTCTGTCTTGACAAAATATTAAATAAAAATAAAATAGTTTACATGCCAGTGCTCTGACGTAGTCCCAGCTATTCAGGAGGCTGAGGTGGGAGGATCACTTGAGCCCAGTAGGTTCAGGCTGTACTGAGCCATGGCTGTCCACTGGACTCTATCCAGCCTGGGTGACATGGAACCCTGTCTCAAAATAAAATATACAAAGCAGTAGTGGAACTGTTTTGAACTCCTACTTTCTTATATTAATTATTAATTTTTTCTTTTGAGACGGAGTTTCGCTCTTGCTGACTAGGTGGAGTGCAATGGTGCAATCTGGGCTCCTGCAACCCCACCTCCTGGTTCAGCGATTCTCCTTCCTTCTGCCTCCCAAGTAGCTGAATTAGCTAGGGATTTCAGGCATGCCACCATGCCTGGCTAATTTTGTATTTTTAGTAAGACCGGTATGGTCTTGATCTCCTGACCTCGTGATCCGCCCACCTTGGCCTCCCAAAGTGCTGGGATTACAGGTGTGAGTCACCATGCCTGGCCGAGTTTTTAAGAATAGAAAAAAGTTTTAGGGGGAGGAGAAGTCCAGTGATCATATAATCTAACATTTCCCAAATAGTGGTTTGTAAAGGTATAATGAGAAATGTGTGTATTTAAAGCAATAGTGGGTGGGCCTGGTGGCTCACGCCTATACTTGGGGTGGCAGAAGCAGGCAGATCACTTGATCCCAGGAGTTTGAGACCAGCAAGGGCAACATAGTGAGACTCTGTCTTGACAAAAATATTAAAATAAAAAATAAAATAGTTGAGCATGGTAGTGCTTGACGGTAGTCCCAGCTATTCAGGAGGCTGAGGTGGGAGGATCACTTGAGCCCAGTAGGTTCAGGCTGTACTGAGCCATGGCTGTCCCACTGCACTCTATCTAGCCTGGGTGACAGTGAGACCCTGTCTCAAAATAAAATATAACAAAGCAGTAGTGGAATCTGTTTTGACTCCTACTTTCTTATATTTAATTCATAATTTTTTCTTTTTGAGACGGAGTTTCGCTCTTGCTGACTAGGTTGGAGTGCAATGGTGCAATCCGGGCTCACTGCAATCTCCACCTCCTGGGTTCAAGCGATTCTCCTTCCTCTGCCTCCCAAGTAGCTGAATTAGCTAGGATTTCAGGCATGCACCACCATGCCTGGCTGATTTTGTATTTTTAGTAGAGACGGGGTTTCACCATTTTGGTCAGGCTGGTCTTGAACTCCTGACCTCAGGTGATCCACCTGCCTTGGCCTCCCAAAGTGCTCAGATTACAGGCATGAGCCACTGTGCCCGGCCCATAGAAGAATTTTTAAGCAACTGTTTTCCCATTATGACAAAACTCTCTGAGAGTCCCTGGGGTGTGGAGTGGACACAGTAGACAGCCGTGGAGAGCAGGTGTCCAGGCTATGACTCAGTTGCTTAGGCATCTTTCTGCTTGAAAACACCTCCTCTTGGCCAGGCATGGTGGCTCATGCCTGTAATCCCAGCACTTTGGGAGGCCAAGGTGCGCGGATCACGAGGTCAGGAGATTGAGACCATCCTGACTAACACAGTGAAACCCTGTCTCTACCAAAAATACAAAAAATTAGCCGGGTGTGGTGGCAGGCACCTGTAGTCCCAGCTACTCTGGAAGCTGAGGCAGGAGAATGGCATGAACCCGGAAGGCAGAGCTTGCAGTGAGCTGAGATCGCGCCACTGCACTTCAGCCTGGGCGACGAGCGAGACTCTGTCTCAAAAAAAAAAAAAAAAAAGAAAGAAAATACCTCTTCTTGTGCTTGTACAGTTAAAATTTGTTTATTTTTTATTTCTTTTGAGATGGATTCTCCCTCTGTAGCCCAGGCTGGAGTGCAGTGGTGCAATCTCAGCTAACTGTAACCTCTGCCTCCCAGGTTCAAGTGATTCTCCTGCCTCAGCCTCTGGAGTAGCTGGGATTACAGGTATGCACCACCACGCCCAGATCATTTTTTTTAAATTACTTTTAGTAGAGACGGGGTTTCACCATGTTGGCCAGGCTGGTCTTGAACTCCTGACCTCAGGTGATCCACCCGCCTCAGCCTCCCAAAGTACTGGGATTACAGGCGTCAGCCACTGTGCCTGGCCTGTTTTTATTAACCATGTTTAATTAATACCCCAAATGGCCCAGGAATCAAAAAGAATCTTGCTGTTGAAGACAGCTAGGTAATGTGGAGCATGAAAATTATTATTCTACAAATATGCCTCAGAACTTTTTCTGCAGATCTGAAAACTGTGATTAATCAACTTCTCATATAGAAAATTCAGCTCTTCCACTTTAGAATCTAGTGTTAATGAGAAAATGTTGCAGCCAGTGTATAAAATGATTTTCCAGGTATTATAAAGAAAGACTATATTTGATGTGTCATTTATAAATGAAGGATGAAATCATTAAAGTTAACTAGTTGATTTTGGGTGTGCAAAATGTGAGAATTTCATATACTTATTATCTGTGGAGCAGTAACATCATGATGACTTTACAAATTAGGAAAGTCACTAAACAAAGAACAACAACTATAACAAGGAGCAGTAACTACAAACCCTCGGGAGGGAGGAGAATCCGATTTCCAGAGATGCTACATTATATTATTTAAAATGTCCAGTTTTCAACAAAAAGCACGAGGCATGCAAAGATACAAGAAAGTATGGCCCATGCACAGGGGAAAATGGAATCAATAGGAATATAGATAATGTCTCCACCATTGGACTTATTAGACAAAGACTTTAAGTCAGCTACTTTAAATATATTCAAAGAAATAAATGAAACCATGTCTAAAGAACAAAATAAAAGTATAAATTTTTTTTCTCACAAAATAGGGAATATCAATAAAAACAAATTACTTTTAAGATCATCAAACAGATGTTCTGGAGTTGAAAAATATAATAACTGAAATGAAAAATCTAGTGGGGGCTCAACAGCACATTAGAGCAGGCTGGAGAAAGAATAAGCAAAATTGAAAATGGACAATTGAGATTATCCAATTTGAGGAACAGAAAAAAAAAGAATGAAGGGAATAAACAAACAGAGCCTCAAAAATCTGTGGGTTCCATCAAGCATACAAACATACTTATAATGGGAGTCCCAGAAGGAGAGGAGAGAAAAAGGACATAAAGAATATTTGAAGAAGTAGAAGAGAACTTCCAATTTTGATAAAAAGTATAAATAGGCATGCTTTTTATTTTGATAAAAAGCATGTCCAAGAAGCACACTGAACTTCAAATAGGATAAACTCAGAGAGATTCACACCTAGACACATGATAATCAAACTGTTGAAAACCAAAGGCAAAGAGAGGGTCTTGAAATTAGCAGAACACAAATAAAAAAACCAACTTACCCTGTATTAGGATTCTCAATAAGATTAACATCTGATCTCTGGAGGCCAAGAAGGCTGTGGTATGACATAAAATGCTACCGAAAAAAAACCAACACAAACAAACAAAAAAAACACCCCTTAATTAAGCTTTCTATATCCAGCAAAACTATCCCTCAGAAATAAAGGAGAAATTAAGGCATTCCGAGATAAACAAAAACTGAAGAAATTCATCACTTAGCAAATCTTCCCTGTAAGAAATAAAAGGTGCTCTTCAGGCTGAAAGGACTTGAGGCATTAAGTCAAATTCACATGAAATGAAGAATACTGGTAAAGGAAATTACATAGGTAAATATAAAAGGCAGCATAAATATGCAATAATTATAAATGTGTGGTTATGGGCATATAATGGATAAAAATGTAATCTGTATGACAATAACAGCACAAAGGAGGAGAGAATGGAGCTATATAGGAGCAAACTTTTGTATATTATTGCAATTAAGTTACCATTAATTCAAACTAGAATGTTATAAGACGTTCATTATAATCCCCAGGGCAACCCATAAGAAAGAGGGAGGGAGTGATCAACTGTGTCAAATGCAGCTGATAGTTTAAGATGAGATCCGAGAATGACCATTTGATTTGGCAACAGAAAGGTCACTGATTAACAGTTTTAGGGGAACGGTGGGGACAGGTGTCAAACCTGACTAGATTGCTGTAGGTAGAATAGGAAAAAAGGAAGTGGAGATAATGAATATGGATAATTCTTCCAAGAATTTTGCTGAAAATGAGAGCAGAGAAATGAGAATGCAGGTGAGCCCAGGAGATTTTTTAATGGATTTGTATGCTGATGGGAATGCCGCAGAGTGGGAAAAACTGACTGTCTCCTCTGTCATTGTTGTTAAGGGAGAAGTTTAAAGATCAGAGGAAAGTTACTGGAGTATCATACTTTTCACCCTAAAGTCCCAGGCACAGGAATCTTTGATTATTGGGAAAATACACACACACACACACACGTTTGTTTGAGTGTGTTTATATTACATAATACTGTACTCACAGATACATTTTTAAAAAATGTCTTAACTAAGATGGCAGTATATGATCATTAACTAATACTTTCAGGCATAACAGACAATCAGAGTGAGGTACCCCATGAATGAAATCTGTTTCAAATGTTTTCTTGATAATTTTGAATTTTATTCAAAATTTGAAAGGCTGTATTATTAGCTACAGTTAGATCTGTCCTTGACCTTGCCTTGTAGTGAGGTTAACAAGAATAGTAATGACTGTTATTCACTGTTTTCTTCTTGTTCACCCTGCCCACATTATTAGTGTTATCTTCAGGCTGGGCTTTCTTTGCAGACACCTTGTTTAAAAATACTTTTTATTATAGAGAATTGCAAACATATGTAGGTAATAATATAATGAACCCCAGTAGACTCATCATTCATCTTCCACTATTATCAACTTGTTACCTACAAAGCTGGTCCCCCACAAAATGGAGTCTTTCCCTCTTTGGTGTCCCAAAGCCAGTTTGGAAAAACAAAAGCAAGTGTCAAGTAGTGCAGGCTTTATTGGATGGCCACGGAATTGAGAATAAGGAGCTTGGTTCACGAATTAACTTCTCAGCTTGTGAAAGTCAGGAAGTCACAAATATAGGGCCTCTTTAATGAAGGGGTTAGGCACTAAAAGCTAGGGGATAAATATTCATGTCTTTTTGGGAATGGACAGAGAACTTCTCAAAACTAGAGTATTACCTTCCTTTTTTTTGTCCTTTTATGGTTTCTTCCAGTCATTGTCATGGTGATTATCAACTGTCATGATGCTGGTGGGAAAGTCATTTAGCATGGAAATTAGATTATAATGAAGTTACAAGTTCTTCAGAGGTCAAGTGAGCTGCCATCTTGGATCTCACCAGTGTTCGGTCATGTGGGGCACCTTCTGACCACAGGTATCCTGTTTCCTAAAGGTAAGCCAGGGTAGAAATTCACCTGTCACATAGGCATGTAATGTAAAGAAACCCATGGCCTGTTCACTTCCCCTGTCCTGTAATATTTTGAAGATAATCCCATATATAATATTATTTCATCTGATAATGTGTATCTCTGAAACACAACGACTCTTTTAAAAAATCTAACTACAATCCCATTATCACACCTGAAAAATAATTTGCAGGGAAAAATCTTTGCACTAAAAGCCAGGTCAAGAAAGAAAGAAATGTGTCTTTAGTACAGTAAAGCTGAGGTCATTATTTAACAGGGAGTAAGGTCAAAATTGTATTAATTGGAGGAAGATCCTGTCTTTGCATAGACTAGCTGGAGGTCATTTCTCTAGTAAATCAGACTGGCAGTCCTTGAAGAAAAACTAATGTTTGTGGTGGTGGGTTACGCTTGTTTTCAAGGTATTTTAGGAGAGAAGCTGGCCTTGGCATTGCTGGTGGAGTGGGACTGAGGTAGCATGGAAGCGGCCAATTCCCGCCCCACGTTTGTGAAACTAAAGCACCACATCCTCTCCCCACTTACTAGAAGCAGGAGTTGATGACAATCACATTCTCATCCAGCTCAAATCTGATGGGGTAGAGTTCGCAAGATTCAGGAAGTAATGAACCAGGAACTCTCTTATTCCATGGACTGTGGTCTGGATCACTAGGCTGGGAGGGCTTGGAGGAAGCGGGCAGGGAACAGCAGAACTGTGTAAGGGAACAGTTACTGTAGGAGGAAGCAACGGTCACCCTTGAAAGGCCTTGAGGCTTGGTCTTTTTCTCCTGTGTGGGAAAATGGAGCCAGCTGACCTAATCAAGGCAAGTTGTCAACTGTTTGGGGCAGTTACTTGAAACTTTAGTCAAAATAACTCTTTAATTGTCCTTTAACATTTACTTTGTATTTAGTGTGGTGAAGATGGGGGAGGCAGAACTTGGACTGTGGGTAGGGCATGTGAAGGTCTGTGCAGAGAGGAGCACCCACCAGCCGACCAGTGCCCAGTCACAGAGGCCACAAGGCACAGTCTCCATTCTCCTTGGAAGAAAGCCCTCTCCTACCCCTGGGAAGAACGGAGCCTGGCATAGAGCTTGTGTTCACCCATATCACACACACTTAGAATTCTGTTCTTGGGGACTCAGGCAGATCTCTGGGAAGCCAAGCTCCAAGTGGTCAACGGGGGGCTGTGAAGTTAGGTTCTGGATTTCAGTATAATAAAGCAGCCTCCATCCCCAATTTTAGGCATCAACATAGAACAGCTAACTTTAAATTTTTCCAAGGGAAAATATAAAACAAACGACTTTCAATTAAGTTAAATGTCAATACTTGTGAAACAAAAAGTACCTGTATCAGTTTAGAAACTTATGTTATGAAGGTGAAGGACTTGCGCCCAGGAGACAGGTCTGTGCCTTTCTCCAAAGATTATTTTGAGGGCTTCAATATTTAAAGGGGAAAAGCAGGCTGCAGAGGAAAGATGGAGGGTATGTTCACATTACTGAATCCACATGTTGTGATAAAGGGAGCAGGTAGGGCAACAATTACGTATTTGTCTAGCGCTCAGTAAATCGGCACTTTACACAAGATAAGGTGAATACAGAGTGGAGATACTTCACCTTTAATCTGTAGCTATCTGCTTAGGAACAAAAGGAAAGGCAGTTGCTTGCATGACTCAGCTTTCAGCTTAATTTTTTTCCTTTTGGCAGAGTGAATTTTCGTTTCACAATACCAAAAAAAAAAAAAAAAGCGGGGGGAGGCTCAGAATAAGGAACAATCCTTTGGCTTGAGTATTTCATTTTATGAGAAACTCACTAAGTTGTTATTTCTCTCTTTTCCACAAGAACGACTAACAGAGCTGCAGACCAGTGTTTGGGGTCATCTCAGTGGAAATTGTCGAGCCGACTTTGGCTCACACGTTCCTCTTCTCGTCAGGGAGGGAGTGACGGGGCAAATCTGCGTGCCTCCCAGGGTTGCTCGGCTGGGCCGCCGAGGGCTAGACCCGAGCTCTATCCCGTGTGGGCTGCGCGTCCCCCAAAACCCCGGTAGTCAGCGACTGCGGACACCTGCACGCCGACGAGACTGGCGGGCGGACAGCGACTCGGGTTAGGGTCCTATCTCTCTACCCTAGGGGCGCGGGTGGCAGAGGCTTCCTGTTTTGAGGATGGCGCCACACAAAGCAAGCAACCTTAGCCTGAAGGGCCCCGACGCCGGAGGTGGAAGTGCGCGGCCTTGCCTGCCGCGCTTCCCTTCCTCGGAGTGCTTTTTGTGGGCCCTGGGAAAGGGGCTCTTGCTACATAGAGAGGAGCAAAGAACAGGCCTCGCCCGGTCCTTAAAGCGGCGGCACCCTCCACGGCCCACAGTCGCGTCTGTTCGGTCCACAGCCTCCCTTCCCAGGCCCGCGCGGAGGCCCAGCAAGCACCAATCTGAAGGAACACAGGGAACCTTAGCGGCCGCGCACATCGCATCGCAGTGAAAGAGGCGCGCGTTCTCAAGGCGCCCGTTCTCAAGGCGCCCGTTCTCAAGGCGCCCGTTCTCAAGGCGCCCGTTCTCAAGGCGCCCGTTCTCAAGGCGCCCGTTCTCAAGGCGCATGCGCGGAGGCCACCAACTCCAAAGCCAGGCCTCTGGCCCGCGTTTGCTAGAGGGAAAGGGAGCATGGAGGTGGGGAAAAGGAGAACGGGAGGGCCCTGTCTCCTAAGGTAGCCTCCCATTGGCTCCTCTTGCTCCGCCCTCGGTCGCGATTGGCTATGGGCTGGGAGCACGGGCCGAGCACGCTCCCACGCACATAGCGGCATTCGGCAGGTGGCCGGCGGCGCAGCCAATGGGAGCGGTCCGCGGGGCGGGGCTTGGGCGCTGGGCCTCCCTGGAAGCTGGCGAGTTGGTAAACAGATCCGGAGCGCGTGCCGGGCGTCAGCGCGGTGGCGAGCGCGCGGAGGCGGGCGCAGAGGGGGCTAGAAGGTGACCGCGGATCCCATTTTCCTGCAGCCGGGTAAGGCTGCCACCCGCCGGCCCGCCGAGTGCCCGGGCGCCGTCTGGCTGCGGCCAGAGCTGGGTTCAACACCCACCTGAGCCCTTCTTGCATTTTCTTCATGTGACAGTGCAGCTTCCCCGCGAGTTTCGCTAGCCGCGAGCTTCAGGTCGGGACGCAGAGGGGGCGCCTCAGGTGCAGGGTGGGTCCTCTGCAGTCGTCTCACGTCCCTGGGTCCACCTCAGCCCCTCGGTCCTGCGTCGGGGAGGAGACGAGGGCCACGTGCAGAGCTTTGGGTCCCTGGAACACGCCCGCTGCTTGCCCGACCGTCTTCCGGCTGCCGATCGCCCGTTGCCCGTGCCCTTTGGTCGCCAATACAGCTTTCCTGCTTCGCTTTCTAATAATGTCGTTCTTCACTCCCAGACCCCCTTGCTCTAAGTGTCTGGGGCTCTAGGCTCGTTGCCCCTGGCTGCAGGTTTGAGTCAGAACTTTGACTTGCTTGGCTGGAGCCAACTGTTGGGCTTCACAGGTGGGAATTTTGGGTGAACTTGGGACAGGGGATCCTTTTGGATCCTTTCTTCCTTTCGCTTTTCTTTCGCCTTTCCTCTTACTTCTCCAAACACGGGGGATCTTGTGAGTAAGGTTTGGGCTTACTCCCCTAAACTCGGAGCCTTTCCGAGGCTCATTCTCACCCATTGCACAGAGGTAACAGCCCCTCTGCCAAACCCTCCTTGGGCGATGGGGAATGCTGCAGGGGCAGGTTTGGGTGTTGGGACTCCCCGTTTGGGTGAGAGATGTCAGCTTCCTGAAGGGTGAGAGGCTTTTGTGCAGAGTCTTCTAGCCTGAATTGGGCCTGCAGCCTGTTGAAAAACTTGTGCACGTTCACTTGGGCCTTGGATCTACGTGACAGGACTGAGTAGCTGGTCATGCCAGGCCTACCTGATTGCCAAAGGATTTGAACATTCATTGATGCCAGCTTGCTAGTTGTCACGCTGTGGATGGGTGGGTCGTCCTGGCAGGAGGGCTCTTGGGAGACTCTTCTTTTGGAGGAAGGCCTTTCTCCTGAGGAGAGACAAAAGGGGAGCTACAGGAGCAGCATCTTTAAGAATCAGGCTGCGGGGCGCGGTGGCCCATGCCTGTAATCTCAGCACTTTGGGAGGCCAAGGCGGGTGGATCACCTTAGGTCAGGAGTTCGAGACCAGCCTGGCAAAAATGGCAAAACCTCATCTCTACTAAAACAAACAAACAAACAAACAAACAAAAATTAGCCGGATGTGGTGGCGGGCACCTATAATCCCAGCTACTCAGGAGGCTGAGGTGGGAGAATTGCTTGAACTTGGGAGGCAGAGGTTGCAGTGAGCCAAGATGGCGCCAGTGCACTCCCCACTGGGCGACAGAGCGAGACTCAATCTCAAAAAAAAAAAAAAAAAAGAAAAGACTCAGGCAATGGCTTTGAATGTTTTGTTCAGCCTTGCAAATGGTGCGGACTATGCAGAATCATGATTTGGGGCCTAATGTTAGGCAGCTAGCTCAAAGGAAAAGTGAACCAGGCAGTCTGGGCACCTCCGTCAGAGCCAGTGTGTTATCTAAGACAAAGTTTTTCAACCTGTGGACTAATGACATTTTGGACCCGTAATTCTTTGTTGGCGGGGGGCCTGGCCTATGCATTGTGGGATGTGTAGCAGTATCCCTGGCTTCCGTCTACTAGACTAGCACCACTCCCTACCCCTTCTAGCCATTGTGACCATCAGAAATGTTTCCAGACATTGCCGCATGTCCTCTGGAGGGCAAAATCTCCCTTGGTTGAGAACCACTGAGGTAAGACTCTAAAAAGAGTTGTCCTATGCTGCCAGAGGCCCCTCTGGGACCTGCCCGTGAGTAGGTGAGAGGTTTAGGCAAAGGGTAGTGTTGTGCCTCCTACCCTAACCCAGTGGTAAAAGCCATGTAGATTGGGCTACCTGTGCGCCTAGCAGGGCAGAGGCAAAACCTGCAAGCAGAAAAGAGGTAGACACCCATGGGCATGTACTGTGCCTGCTAGATGTGTGGCAGTGACTGCCTGGGTTGGGGGTGCTGGAGAATTGGAAGACTGGTAGCTTCTTGGCTACAGGCAACAAAGGGCACCCAAAAGATCCCCTAACTGACCAAGGAGTGTTACGGGAAAATACCGATACATCCCCACAGGATCAATTAACAGCAAGAAAGAGAAACTCATTTCTCTTGCAAGACTAGGGGATTTGCACATGAGTAACTATGGGCCAGTTTTACAATAGGAAACCTACTTAAGCTGAGTGCTGGCACAAAGGCTAACTCAGCTATCCACAAGTGGTTCTTCAAGGAGATGCTTTATTCATCCTCACTTTTTGCTCAGACATCTCTGTGTCTTGTGATGTGGAAGGGACCAGGTCTTCATCTGCAGGGAGTAAGTGGCAGGGTGCATTTCAAACATATGTATTTTTACATATACCATCTGAGGGGTGCAGTGTGGACATGGGTATAATAATCTGTGGAGTTCTGTAGTTATTTGAAGCATCAGTGTCAAAGTCAGTGAGCTTTTTATTTTTCTTTTCTCCTTGGGTCAGCCTGCTCATCAAAGAGACATTTTTATGTGTGTATGGAGAAGGATGCTTTACTTCTGAGTGTAAATTTTGCCTTCAGTGTAATCCAGAATTTATGCCCCAAATTTCTAAGTCCCAAACCGATAGGCATGCAGAAAAGCTGAAAAACAGGGATTTCTTGCACAGGGCAAGGAAAACCATCCTAAGCCTATTCAATGAGTTTCTCTTTCTTGCTGTTAATTGATCCTGTGGGGACATATCAGGATTTTCCCGTAACACTCCTTGGTCAGTTAAGGGATCTTTTGGGTGCTCTTTGTTGCTTATAGAAAACGATCAGGAAGGAAGGTCACTTCTCCTTTCTCAAAGAGAAGTTTAAAGAAGGCTATTATTGGGAAGCTGAAAACTTGGCAGGATAATTTTCCAGTAAGAACCATGGACACTGAGTCATTATCTTTGTCCGTTGAAACAAGAGCTGTGTGCAAAATTAGACAGGAATATTTAGACAGAGAGTTGTCTTGATTTGACAGTGGCATCTGGAGATACTTCTGTCATTCCTGTTAAGCAACAGCCAGGAACTCGGGAGAGCCAGTGGAAAGGAGGGCTGGTGGGAGTGAGGGAGTTCGAGGGTCCTGCTCTTTCTGGAGTTGCACATGTGGAGGGGTGGGAGTCCACGGAGGTGGTTTGTGAGAAGGACCTCAAGGGGAGATAGAACCGAAGGCATGGATTCAAAGAAATTTATGCAGGTGAAATTTCTAGACTGACTAACTGGCTGGATATATGGCTGAGATTTCTAAGCAGGGGGAGGAGCTGGATGATGGAGGAAGAGCTGGTTTGGGAGAAGGTGGTCATCTTAGTTTTAGACATGATGGGAGCCTATGGGACTTTTTTCCATCCTGTTTGATTAAGGTATAATTTGCATACAGTAAATTCATCCTTCTTAGTGTACAGTTCTATACAGTTTGACAAACACACAGTCACATAACCCCACCACAATCAAGGTATAGAACAATTTCATCACCCTCCGAAATTTCCCTGCGCCTCTTCCCAGTTGCCTGTGGGTCTTTGAAGCGGTGATGTGGTATGTGTGTGTGTAACTTGGTTTGTTCTGGAAATGGGTTCGGTGGTTGAGAGGCCCTGCCTGGCCTGAGGGTGGCGAGGCATCAGTGCAGAGCCTGTGGAGGAGCTCTGGCCGCCCAGGAGCCAGTGCAGATGGCAGGGAGGCTGGGGTGTCAAGGACCAGCCTGGGAACTCCCAGGCCTTGGAGTAGGTGGAGGAAGAGGAGCTAGGGGAGGAAGCTGAGGAGGTGAGGCCAGAGAGAAGGGAGGAGGGAGGGCTTCTGGGAAGAGTGTGGGGCCAGCAGGAAACACTGTGGGGCAGGGAGTGGCTGAGGAGACCCACTGGCTTGAGCCCTCAGGTGTCACAGAGGGGCAGCTTGGGGTTGGGGCCAGACAGTGTGTGCTGAGGGAGCAGGGAAGATGGCAAGTGCACTCCATCCTTGGGAGATGGTGGCCACGTCCAGAGGGTGGAGGAGAAGCAGAGCCTATAGTAGGCTTGTGGGCTTGAGGGGAGGGCTTTTATGAAAGGAGATTGAAGGCAAAAGTAAAAAATAGGTCAGGGGCAAGGTCCTGTTGCGGGAAGGAGGAGGGATGGTCAGTGTGGGAGGAGATGGAACAGAGGCAGGGGAAGGGTCTGAGAGGTGTGACCAAGAATGTGAGGTCACTCCTATCTGGTTGCCCCCATTTCTGGAGTAACAAAGGTCCGCTAGAGAGAGGTCGAGGCCTTCTGTTTAATGTGAGAGAGCCAGGGGTGGGGGCTTGAAGAGCCTTAGGTACCTTGGCATCCTTTGAGAGGCTGGTTGTACCCTGTGAGAGAGAGAGAGTGAGTGTGTGTGTGTGTGTGTGTGTGTGTGTGTATAGAAGGCAGGCAGGAAGCTGTTTCCGGTTCATATGGAAAAGCCTAGTCCCTTACCTCTCCCTACCTGTGCACCATCCATTGGAGTTTTCCATTTCCCAGAGGTGTGTTTCCTGAGAGAGAGAGAGGCTGTAGCGCCGCTGTCTGCCTTTGTGAAGACAGCAGGGTTGGTCTGCCTGTCACCTCTCACTGTTTCATAGAGTCTCCGGAAGGATCAGTATCTGTGTTGTTTTGAGCATTACTCTTTCTAGACCCCGTTACATCCCAGCTTTCAAAACAGCCCTGTGCGTGCTCTCCTTGCTGACCTTCTGTGCTCCAGGGATGCATGGCCCTTTCCTAATCTCTGGGAAGTAGGCCTCGTCCATGTCAGTCATGTCACTTACACATGAGGAAATGGGAAAACGTAGGCCCCAAGAGGAGAAGCGGTGTGCCTGAGGTCACCTGTGCTTGGTGGCCTACTTTTGGTCCTCCCCGTCAGCCCTCATCACAATATACGTGGTGTCGTCTGGGAACTGGAGGACCTGGTGGTAAGTCCCTGCTGTCCGCAGGGCTGGATGAGAAGTCCTGGGGACAGTCCACATGAAAAGAAATGTTAAAGTTCAAGCTCAGAGCCTGGGCCCCAGCCCAGTGTTTGTTCTGTGCTTGGCACATTTTTCGTTTGGCACTGATACTGGCTCAGAGGAGGGTAAAAGTAAAAGTCGATTGTCCGGTAAGCTGAAGGTGGTTACTGTTTGACAGGTGCTTGAGCAAACATCTCTAATCTTCCCGAGATTGAAAAAATGCTTGTGGCTCTTGCTCCCTAAGGTGTTTACAGCCAGCATGTGGTCAAGGGTTGGACATTGTGCTGCCGCCAGGCCTGTAGTAGCTCCTGTTTACGCCTGCTTGGTGCTCATGGTTCATGGGCTAGGGCTGATTGGCCTGCTGCGGAACAGTTGCTTGCTGGGTTCAGCCCCTCCTCTTTTCCCTCGGTCTTAGACAGGTGCGGGGGTGAAGCAGAGGAAGCAGTAGCAATGACTGTGTCCCCTGCTCCCTTCCTGGGTCTGTGTACCCACCATAAGCGGGATTATGAAGCTGGCTTAAAAACTCATCTGGCTTTGCTCCTATAAAAGTCACTTTTTGACCAGGGGGGTACTGCTGCCATTTCTGTGGCTGTGTATATTCGGGGGTTCAGGTTCCTCTGGTGCTCAGCCTCCTCTCTTCAGTCCTGGGCTGTAGATGAGGGAGCTCAGGAAGCCACGGAGCCTGGGTGCCTGGGCCCTGCCTCACTGACTCATAATGGTAATAAACTCATGGTGTGTGTGGGGACAGTGCCAGACCCCGTGGGGGATACAGAACTGGGAAAGAGAGGGCCCCTCCCTCCGGAGCTTACTGTGCAGTAAGGGAAATGGGACAGGCACACACAGAATCATACAGGGCATGGTGAGGTGACCTTAGGCCATTAAGAGATGAGGGAGTTTAGATGAAAGGAGATGACTTGCCTATAGGGGGTTTACCAGTCCAGCAGGTGGCTAAGATTCCAGCAGGGTGGCTAAGACTCCAGCAGGTGGCTAAGATTCCAGCAGGGGAAATGATATTCCACGGGGAGGAGGGAGCAGGCCGTGGAAGTTGGAAAACCTGTGTGGGTGTTGGGCGGGGCCAGGGGTCCATTCTGGCTGAAGCGTTGGGGCACAGAGGCAGCTGGCGAGAAGTATTGCTGCAGAGGTGTCTGGGGCTCCACAGTAAAGGGCCTTGCTGGCCAGGCCAGGGAGAGTGGAGATCGACAAGGAGACGGCCACCTCTCCTGGGCCTGTGGTCCCCTCGCCCCCTGCTGAGCCTCTTCTCATTTCTCGTTGCGTGTGTAGTTGTTGTCTGTCTAGGGTTGCCCCTTGTCTGGGTTAACTGGGTGATTTTAAAAGCTATAGAGGTTTTGCATACACATGTAGTGCCTGAGGGTTGCATGTGACCTCAGGGCAGAACTTGTTTATTTAACCTCCATACCAGTGATGTGCGCATGTCCACACCTGGCCTGTGTGTGGCATTTGGAGGTGATGCTAGTAAAGGTTGGTGCTGGTGTTGAGTGGCAAGACTAAGGGCCACATGCCCAATGGCTCCTCCTAGCTCTTGCACACCCAGAGGCAGTCTTCAGTGTGGGGTGTCTGCCTCTTTCCACTATTTATGTTTAAGATCAAACTGGCTCTGGAACCAAGCTTTGCCTCTAGTGGGTGGGATCACTGGTCCTGAGAACTGTGATACCCTCAGTCCTGGCAGCTGACGAACTTTCCAGAGCAGGGAGTTTGGCCAGATGGCCTCTGAGAGCCCAGCTTGTCCCAGGATTTTTGTGACTCAATTTTCTGTAACCAGGAAGACACATTTCAGGATGTAAACCTTACTTATGTCTCATGTTGAGTGACTATTGATTTAGCAAAAAAGGAGTTATTGATTCGGGGCAGTGTTCTTCTCTGCTGTCTTTCAGCTTCCTAGGCAGTAAGAAGAAAGGACTGGAGCCTGAATCAGACAGGAGTGGAAGGGTCCAGCATCCCACAGCTTTGGCTCTTAGGAGATTGCTCAGCCTTAATGAACTTTAATTATCCCATCGGTGAGTGGGGATAATACCTCACCAGGTCGTTGTAAGAATTAGAGTTAATATAAAGTGACAGGCAGACAGAAGGGGAATAATAAATGGTAGCTGTTCTTGTTATTATTCCTATTTCATTTAGATATTAAAGCTGAAGTAAAAGTATTTTGAAAGATTAAGAATATAAAACCCAGGCCAGACACGGTGGCTCACACCTATAATCCCAGCACTTTGGGAGGTCAAGGCGGGCAGATCATTTGAGGTCAGGGGTTCAAGACCAGCCTGAGCAACATGGTGAAACCCTGTCTCTATTAAAAATACAAACAAATTAGCTGGTTGTGGTGGCACCCACCTGTAGTCCCAGCTACTCAGGAGAATCAACTGTGCCTGGGGAGGTTGAGGCTGCAGTGAGCTGTGGTCATGCCATTGAACTCCAACCTGGGCAACAGAGTAAGACCCTGTCTCAAAAAAAAAAAAAAAAATCTCTTTCTCTCTCTCTCTCTCTCTCTCTCTCTCTCTCTCTGCCTGGCATGTAGTATGGGCCCAATATAGAGAAAGCCAACAGGACTGTGTCATTAAGAACGGGAATGCGCTGAGCTGTCTGTGGGGTAGTCCACCACCTAGCTTGGTGTCTGGTACTTGGTTGACATTCAGTAGTATTTGTGGAGTGACCAAAGTTAATTTAGAAGAATGGTCTGGAAATTATTCTAGAATACAGCCCCTCTCCCCAACCCAAGGATCAGATTTCTTAAAAAATAGCTACTACTTTAATTTCCTATGGCTGTTGTAATAAATTACCACAAGCTTTGTGACTTAAAGCAACATAAATGTATGATCTTACACTTCTGGAGGTTAGAAATCTGAAATTGGTCTCACTAGGCTAGAATCAAGGTATTAGCTGTGCTGGTTCATTTCTGGAGGCTCAAGGGCAGGACCTGACCCCTTGCCTTTTCCAGCCTAGAGGCTGCCTGCATTCCTTGGCTTGTAGCCCCTTCTTCACAATGGCATCGCTCCAGCCTTACTTCTGTCTCTCATCCATCACCTCGTTCTGACTCTGCCCTGCCTGCCTCCCTCTTATATGGGCCTTTGTGATTACGTTGGGCCCACATGGATAATCCCCCATCTCAGGATTCCTGACTTCATCACATCTGCAAAGTCCCATTTGTAGGTAACATTCATAGGTTCTGGGGATTGTGGTATGGGTATCTTTGGGACACCATTATTCAGCCTACCACAGCCACCCACAGTATTTTGGCCAGATTTAAAGACAACCCTGTAAGCATCTGAAAGAAATGTTGAAAGAAACCCTTCAACCTCGACTTCAGGATCCTTAATTACCTTCCTGGGTGGCAGTGGTTCATGAATTCAGTCAACACTTGTAATTTGTGTGGGCGGATCACTCTGTGTGTATAGGTGGAGTGGGAAGAGTCAGAGTTGTCTGAGACAAGAGCCTCCCACGAGGAGCTTATAATTTGAAGAGAAGAGAGGTCCATGTGCAAGAAGAAGGGTAACTTACAACATAGGAATCTGACCAGCGAGTTAGATCAGCTGTCAGGAGGACGTAAATATGGAAGAGCTGGGAATCAGAGTAGGGCCTGAATAGGAATACGTTCTTGAATTTATGTGGTGCTTTTACACATTTCAAAGTATGTCCACCCACCCCTCCATTTATATTGGACAAGATAAGAACTTATACCATCATTTCCAGGAGAGGAAACAGGTCAGAGATGGTTGAAGAATGTGCCTGGAACAGCCCAGCTGGTCAGGGCAGAGCTGATTCCCAGCCCCAAGGCCCTCATCTTTGGCTAATGGGTGGGTTTTCAGATGTACAGAGATGAAGGGGTGGGCAGGTCTGCCTGGGAGAGTGGGACCTGCAGAGTGGAGTGCGCTCACGCGGCTCATGTGTGGCTAGAGGCTGGAAAGGAGGCTGGGGGCCTGATTTCGAGGCTTGGGACTTCAGGCGCAGGAGTCTGGGTTTTATATATATGTGTACATACATGTCTACATGTCTACATATATGTCTACATTTGAGCAAGGGGTTGGCATGATGAACGTGGATTTTATTATAGGAAGAGGAATCTGGCAGGAGAGTGTTCCATGGCTCAGAGCCGGGGAGCTTGTGGGAGTTACAGGGGTTTTTCTTCCCACTGCCTTTCCCTGAATGTACCTGGACAAGAGCCTCCCATGCTGTTTTCTCCTGTAAGATGAAGTGGTAAGGAATACCAGTGGGCATTTGTGTCTCTGGTTTCCAAGCAGGCCACCAGCACTTTGGACTGCCTCTCCTGAATGATGCCTCATACCACAGCACTAAATAAACCACACTGGTCCTCCCCCAGCCCAGCCTGCCTCCCAACTCAGGCGTGAGACTGTGCCCGGCAGGAATAACTGTGGGTTATCCAGACTGATCCCATTCACCCTGACCTCTGGTCTCATGAAGTCTGAACTTCATTCCAGAATGTCTGTGTGTTTGCAATAATAATTATTATAATGATGATGATGATGATGATGGCATTAGCTAATGGTTTTTAAGCACCTACTATATGTCCTGAATGCTATTACATGGATTTATCCAGTCCTTTTAAGAACAGATGAGGAAACTGAGGCACAAAGATCAGCTCACATGACTTGATTTAGATCACACTAGCAAGTCAGTGGCAGAGTCATGGTGTGAACCCAGGTCACCTAACCTCAGAGCATTTTAACCATGTCACCAGTATCACTTCATGAGCCAAATATTTTAATTTGAATGTTTTAAGCAGTAAACTTCAGTAGGTTTTTAGTCAGAAAACTAAATTGCCATCAGGACCCTGCGCTTGACTGGTTGGCCTTTAAAAGCCTTGTGTGTCGGCGGCTATATCAACTCCAGAGTGGGAGAGGCTGTTCTGGACCCTCCATTGCCTGCCTGTGTTGGAGCTTTGAGCCCACACGGGTCACTCACAGCACTGGGTCCTTGTCTGGACTATCATCAGAGGCTGGAACTTTGCCTTCTGCTGCTTTTATATCACCCCCAACCCATGCCCAGCTCCCAACCCAGTGCTTACCACAGGGCAACTCACCCAGGGAATCCTAAGACTATCTTAATCTCCCAATGGATGGAGAATGGAGGTTTGTAGTCTGGGACATCAAAACCCCACTGTTTTGCTCATTTTCTCCTCTTACCTGTTAAACAGGTTGCCTAGCTCCTGAGCCATGATGGATCCAGGTCCCAGCTTTACTTCTTAAAAGCTGTGTGACTTTGGACAAATTACTTAACCTCTCTGTGCCTTAGCACCCTCATCTGTAAAATGGGCATAATTTACCTTTTGAAAATGATTGAGTTAATACATCTCTGTGCTAAGTAGAATACTGAGCCCAGAGCCTGGCATATACTAAACTCAGAAAAAGCAGCTGTAGTTATCATCGGTATGGTGGGCTGGTTCTGCTGCTCACAAAATAAAAACATCTGTGGAACTGGTTACATTCATGGGGGAGAATGTCAGTGCCTAGTTGCTTGCTTTTTTTTTTTTTAAAGAAAAATTTAGCAGTATGGGATTCAGTGCCTGCTTTTAACAAGCTCTTGTTTATGTTAGTAGCACAAGAATGTATAATTTTTTAACAGTTCAAAGAAAAACCCCAGTAGTCTGGAAGCCACTTTCAAGGGAACTTGAAGTCCTTAGCCTAGAAGGCAAGTTGAGCCCTGGAAACTCCCTCCCTTACAAGGCATGACCCACTGGGACATCCGGAGGCTGTGGGTACAGACCTGTGTGAGGGCCATGGCGAGCTCAGACCTCTCCGCCAGGGCAGATAGGCCAGCACAGGCCAGCATGTGTGGCTCACCAGGAGGCCACCAATGCCCTGCAGTCAGAAGGGACTCTGTGTGGGGCATGGGGTGAAGGCAGCAGCGTGTGTCCCTGTCTGCCTCTGTGTCTCCCCTGATTACCCCCTGACCCCACACCCATGCCAGTGCTTGCCTTGCAAGAGGTTTCTTGTAAAGGAGGCTGAGAAAGTGGAGGGATGAAGGAATGATTAGATGGTGGGTGATTTTATATCAGCCCAAGCCCAAGCCGTGGATCGAGAATGTGGAGGGGAATGTGGGTGTCTGCAGTTAGGCTGTGAGCCTCCTGCGACAGGAGGAGGGGGGAGGAGAGCCATACAGGAAGTTGGCATTGGACACCCCCTTCCAGCCTCCCAGGCCTACTTCCCCCTCTCTCCAGCACTTAGGGGCCACGCTGGCCTGGATAATACAGTCACAGGTGGCCTGTGTTTCTCTGGCCTCACCTGGGGTCCTCTGGTGTTGGGCAGCTCTGTGTCTGGTGAGGTGAGCCCATCTCTCACGGTCAGGAGCAGAGCGGTAATGGGGGGTCCTCGCCCATTGGGGTGTTCTCATTCAACTCTGAGCCTTATTGGGGTGTTCTCCTTCAACTCTGGTGACCTTCCAGATTTCCTGGGGCAGCTGTGGTTTTTACTCTTGCCCTAGAATATAAATTGACAAATAGTAAATATTTTGGGCTTTATGGGTCATAGATCTTTCTTGCAACTACTAAAATCTGCTGTTGCAGCTAAAAAAGAAAAAAAAAGAAAGCAGCTAAGGACAATACATATGTAAACAAATGAGCTATGCATAATCTATAAATGGGTGAGCAGTCTGTGTTCCAATAAAACTTTATTGACAATAAAGCAGGCAGTAGGACTGGATTTGGCTTGAGGACCATGGTTTGCTAACCCCTGCCCTGGAAGGACACTAATTATGTGTCTTAATTTTTGGTGCAAAAAATGTGATCACTGCACTTACCACCCAGTTCTAAACTAGGATCCTATTTTTTGGAGGATCGGGGTAAGCACCCTTTCATTATTTCCATCTTTTAACCCAGAGGCCAACATTAGGGAAGGCAGGCGGACCTACTGCTTGTTCCAAGTGGTTTTTTCCCCCAGTGTCCCGAGAAGGGCAGTTGAGCCTTTCTCTCCAAAGTGGAGGTGCCACATTCCATCCACCTGGTGGCCTGTTAGGAGCAGTTGTCTTCTGATGAAGGACAGTGGCTAAACAAGGAGAGGCAATGTTTATGCCATTCCAGTCTCCTGCCTAACCCTTGCTCATTCTGCTCTGGACAAGCACTTAGGGGTTGGGGAATACATTTGTGTGCTTGCTTACTTTTTAAAATTTTAACAAAACATATTTAAGAATATTTTTATTTTATTTATCTTTTATTTTATTGTTTTGAGACAGGGTCTTCTTGCTCTGTT